CACGTGCTACCGTGCCCAGCTAATTTTTTGTATTTTTAGTAGAGACGGGGTTTCACCATGTTGACCAGGATGGTCTGGTTCTCTTGACCTCATGATCCACCCACCTTGGCCTTCCAAAGTACTGGAATAACAGGCGTGAGCCACCGCACCAGGCCGGGCCATCCATTAAAATCATCAACAGGAGAGAAATGACTGGGGACGGATAAGAACCCCAATGAGGGGTGAGGGTGGGAACTGAGGGAGGCTGGGAATTCACTTCCCTCAGGAAATGTAGTAGGAGGGCTGGAGAGTGGGGTTTCCATGAACTACAGTAAGATTCCTGGCTCTGACCCACACCGCTCTCTCCAGTGTCTGCTGCTTTCACTCTTGTTCTCTCTCCTCACCTGCTCCCTGCCCATTTAACCCAGAGCAGACCAGAATCACATAGAAGGCCCCTGTGCCAAGGTGCCATTAGCCAAGTTGGGCACCCTTACAGAGATGTGGGATCTGTGAAATGGGGCCACCGTGAGCCCCGCCCACCTCACAGAACTGCAAAGACAAGGGAAAACAGATTGTAGATTTTAAAGTTCTATGTAGACAGAGGGCAGGTCTGCACCTAACAGTCCCAACCTGGAAAGAACCCAAATGGCAATCAACGGTGGAATGGATAAATGCATTGTGGTTTCTTCACATAATGGAATACAACATAGCAATTAAAAAGAATGAGCCCCTGCAACCCACAAGAACACAGTGAGCCTCCCAGACATGATGCTGAATGAAATGCGCCAGACACAAAAGCAAACGCACTATGTGATTCCTTTTCTGTGAGATCCAAGAGCAGGCAAAACTAATCTCTGATAATACAAGTAAAGAGAGCAATTACTTTTGGGGGATATTGAAGGGGAACATAAGGGTTGCTTTTTGGGTGCTGGGAATGTTCTAGATAATGATCTGGTTCTCATGTACATACAAATCTATCAGGATGTACATTTGAGTTTTATATACTTAACAGTGTGAACTATACCCCAATTACAAAAAGGAATATGACTAGAATTATTATTTGGAGCACCCTGTATGTCAGGAAGTAGGAAGGGCTTTTGGGAGGGGTTTTAAAGTGATTTTGCTGTTACTTCTCTCCTGCTTTTATCCATCCCCTCAGCCTCTCCCCAGATAGGAAGGACTTCTTTCTCAATATTCCTTTATTCCATCCTTTTATCCCTTTATTAGAACTCCTGCTATGGACTAGGCTATTCTAGAAGCTGGGGTGGAACCTAGCTCTCAGCCTTCTAAGGGGCAATCAACACATAGATAACATTGACTGTGAGCCGGCACTGAGGCTTCACCTCTACCAGCAGGAGCATTTTCTCTCAAGCAGGTCCAAGTGGCAGAGAGCGGGACACAGAATATCTGGGATCCTTTCTAGGCTTCGACTATCATTCCAAGAAAGGAGAAAGGTGCCTACTATACGCCAATGTGGATTTAATCCTCTGCAACCCAGCTTACGTATCTGGAAGGCAGCAGGGATAGAGTTCAAACCCAGGAGTGTCTGATTCCTGCCCCCACTTCCCTTCCCAGCACTCCCACGGCCTCCTAGCTGCCAGGTCAGCATTGCCCTGTCTCTGGGCATCTGTAGTGTCTCTGGCCATCCGACATAGCCCCCATTGATTCTTGCCTCATGGTATCCAAGCCCTTATGTAGGTTCTTCCCACACTGAATAGGGCTGACCTATGTAACCAATAGGATATTGCAGAAATAACAGTGTGTCTTCCAAGGATAGTATATAAAAGACATTGTGGCTCTGCCTTGCTCTCTCTTGAATCATTCATTCACTCTGGGGAAACTAGCCACCATGTTATAAGAACACTCAAGCAGCCCTACGGAGAGGTTCGTGTGGCAAGAAACTGAAGCTACCTGCCAAGAGCCAACCCCAACTTGACAGCCACATGACAGAACCACCTTTGGAAATGATCCTCCAGCCCCAGTCAGGCCTTGAGAAGACTGCAGCTCCAGCCAACATCTCAACTGCAACCCCATGAGAGACCCTTGGCCAGAACCAGGCAGCTAACCCACTCCCAACATCCTGACCCCCCAAAGCATTTATTATTATGAGATAACCGGTGTTCGATAAGTTACTAAGCCTGGGGGCCATTTGTTACACCGTATGGCTCCATATACATAACACAGCCCCTGTCAGAGCCACAGCTTCGTGCTGCAGAAACAGTCTAAGGGTGGTGTGTGAAGGCATTAGGAACCAGCCACTTACCGGAGGAGTGGCCAGAGCAGGCAGAATTGAAGAGGATCAACATCAGCAAGAAACCCCCAGTGCGTGGGACTGTGAATCGGAGACCAAGCAAAGCCGAAACCCTGGAGCTATCTCTCCTAGAAATTTCTCACACACCTCATCTATCTCAGTAAGTGAAACCACGTGCACCCAATTACTCTGGCCAAAACCTGGGAGTCATCTTTAAGCCGGCTCCCACTCTCACGCCCAAGGTCCCATAGCTCAGTGAGACTCCGGCTCTCCCTCAGAAGGCATCCCAGGCCCAGCCCTTCCTCACTGCCTTTCTGGTGAGCGCCATGGACTAAGCTGCCAGCCTCTCTCACGTGGGCAACATCAGCAGCCTCTTGGCCCATGTCCCTACTCCCGGCCTTGTGCCTGCTCAATGCCAGAGTGGCCTTCTCAGAGTGGAAACCCAATCACATCCCTCAGGCCCAAACTCACCAGCACTCACTACTCTCCAGCCCTCTTTCAAGAGTAACAAGCTCCTCTCACCTCAGGGCCTTCGCACCTGTTCTTTCTCCTCCCCCACATCATCATCTGGGTCCCACCTCACATGACTCTTCCTCCAAGGAGTCTTCCTGGGCTACCCTAGCAGAATTCTTCTCTAACCCATTGCTGCAGCTCATTCCCTTCAAAACTTGCTTGCCTATTTAGTGCCTGTCGCCCCTATTAGAATGTAAAACCCATGAGGGCCAAGGCCTTCTCTATCTGTTCACTTAGAAGGGTGTCTGGCCCATGGGAAGGAGCTTACTAAACATTCATTAATGAATCCTGCCTAGAAGTGGGAGATGGATGAGATGACCTCCAAGTTGATGAGGCTATAAAATCTCCAGTATAGAGCTCTGCTGTGGCGCTGTGGCTCTGGCTCCTGCTGTCCTTCCCAGTAGGAGGAAAAGGCAGGGCGGCAGTAAAAGCTGTGGTTTTAGGGAGAGACCCACCAGCTGGGTGGAGCGCTCACCACCAGTGGGTCCCATTCCCTGTAGAGGAAACTCCTATACAAAGCCCATCTGTCTGGTTGCTTCCCTGCGAGTCTACCCTCTCTCCCGCTTAACTGGCCTCCTTGGGCAGGGCAGAGCAGGACTGCTGCAGCTTTGTACATTCTGAGTCCCCAGCATATGTAAGGCTCCTCAGGCTATGCCCCCAAAACATCATCTTTGGCATCTGCCTGTTCCCATGCACAAGGCTGCTGCATGACGAGGAGCCATCTGTACATCTTTCTGGGCCTCTCCGGGCCACCCATCTCCCCTATTCAGACCCTTCACTGCCTGAAAGTTCATCCCCTTATCATCCCTAAATGTATTCTGCTGTTGTCAACAGATGGAAATCAAGAGAAAGAAGGGAAGACAAGGCTGGGGAAACGTATGGCAGTAGGCAGTGATGGACGAAGAGAAGGAAGCACAAGGGCCCAGGGACAGAGAGCAGATGAAGAATTCCACTGGGACACTGTACCTGCTGCAAGCCAGGTCCTCGGCACCTCTGCAAGGGGAGCATTCCAAGCTGGAGTCTACAGATGGAGATGCCCTCCAGCAAGGTGTATGCTTGGCTTAAGTAAAGTCTCTTTGGAGGAAGAGTCCTCCCAGACCTGCCTGACCCATCAGCACCCCTTCCCCAAGGTAACACTTGGACCTCCAAGCTCCCAGTAACTGAACATCAATCATGATACTTTTGAGCACGTACCCTGCGCCAGGCGCTGGGCTAGGCACTTCACACACATTAGCTCATTGAATCCTCATAACAACTTAATGAGGGAGGCTTATTCCCATATCCTTGAGGATGAAGCAGAGGCTCAGACAGGTACATAACTTGCCCAAGGCCACCAGCTAATAAGAAGCAAAGCGTGGGATGCACCAGATACGGATCCTCAATTGCTGAATGAATTCTCCTTTTGGAAGCATATTCTCCTTCTACTACCTGAATTTCTTGAAAGGTCAAGTGTGAAGAGCAAACATAGGGGGTGAACAGGCAGGGAGGGGTTACAAGCAACAATCGGAGAAGGTGCAGATCTTGGCTGCAAGTGAGAGGCAAGGAACGCCATTTCCACCCTCAGGCAGAGCTGAGGCCATTGGACAGAACCATTTCCTTCCCAAACTCATAATCAGTCTTGGTGTCAATCCCCCACCCCCTGTTATTCCAAGAAGCTGATATATGACTCCTGGGTTCAAACCTCAGAGGATACATCAAGGCTGAGCCAGCCTGGCCAACTAGGGCCCAGCAATCCCTCCGGTTTTCTTGACTCAGTTTCCCTCTCCCACCAGGCCCAGCCTCAAAATACTCATGAGGAAACTGAGGACCAAAAGAAGACCTGGCCAATCAAGAGGGAGGCATAGTCTCAAAAGGTTCCAGACCAGCCAATCCTGACCTCCGATCTCATTCTCCACTTACTCCACCACCCACTTCTCTCGCCCTCAGGGTCCCATGGCTGTGGACACTGAGGTTTTCTAGGTAGGCCAAATTGGGCCAACTGGGGCTCTGGGCGGCCGGGATAATTGAAATAGATCCCCTCCCCCTTCCCCTGTACCCCTTGAGAACTAGCAGAAACACCTTCAAAGGCCGCTCCCTTGGAGCTCGGTCCCCACCAGCCACCTCCAGTGACCGCCCAGATCGCGCGCTGAGCCCCCCACCCGTATCCCCCCACTCCCCAGCCTGCCCCTGCCCCCGCCCCCGGGCCTTAGCCTTCACCCCGACCTGCGCCCGCTCCCAGGCCCAGGCGCTTTGCATAAACAAAGCGAGGAGGAGGGACGCCCCGGGCACCGCCCCCGTCCCGCCGGCGCCCCCGCTCCAGTCCCGGACCCCGAGCCAGGCCTGTCCCAAGTCCTCCCGGGCCCGCCAACCCGCGGCCCCTTACCTTGGCCTGGCATTTCCGATGACAGGAGAAGCTGCAGACTGCAAGAGGGCGAGACACAGAAAGAAAGTTTTAGCCGCGAGGTATGAAATGGAAACTCCGCGAAATCTCCTCCCACCCCAGCCCGCAATCCGCGCTCGTGAGGGAAGGAGGGAAGGAGGGACGGAGGGAAGGAGAGAGGGAGAGAGGGAGGGGACGGAGGGGGGCGGCTGCTGGGCCTGGGGGACGGGAGCGTCCGGGACTGTGGACCCGCGGCCAGGGAGGCGCCGGGCCCCCAGCACTAGCCCCTCCGGGTGTGAGAAGGTCGGGGGAGCAGGGGGGTTGCCCACTGGACCCCTGCCAGGGGCACAGGTAGCCCGGACCCAGGGCCCATGCCAGCCACACCAAGGAAAAAGGGGGGCCTTCTCCCCTTACACACACACCAGGCAGGCAGACGACATCGAAAACCACAATCACACTTACTGTGCCCCAGAGACAGACACACAGACCCAATTCAGAGCCCAGGAGAGAGCCCACGCACATACACACACCCACACACACACTCACCCAGAACCACTCCCACCCATCCACACAGCCATCCTCGGGCACACACAGAGCCTCACACAGATTCATCCACGAAGACCCCTGACCCAGGGCACCAACACACACAATTCTGTGGGACACCCTCCGATACAGCCTGACACAGATTTGTGGACACAGACACGTGAACAGATGCTCAAACTTCTTGTGCATGACTTGAAGCACACACACACACACCACACACACACACACACACACACACACACACAGGACTTGCTCTTCCTCCCATTACCAGAAGCTGGAATCAAATTTCCTATCAGGTTCCCAAAGCCTGGAATGTCACCAGCCCTGCTGCCCCACCCCACAGGACTCTGGGACTCCACCAAGGGATTTGGTGACCTCCCCGCAGATCTCATGAGTGGGTGAGGGGTCTCCTGAGCTGTTTGCACGGCTTTGGGTCTTGTTGGCTGCCCAGGACCTGCTAAGGCTGGGGGGGGTGGGAAAATGGTTAGAGAACTGGGCAGAGGGAGGTAGGGGAGTGCCCTGACTCCAAATCCTCTATAGCCACAGCCCAGAGCCACAGCCATCCACCCCCTTCTCCTGGATCTACTACCCTCCACCTCCTTCCAGCTTTGAACCAACCTGATTCTCAGCAGAGTGCAGAAAGGGAGGTTGAGGCACAGATGAAGGCCTGGAGCACCCCAAAGAGGCTCCAGGTTTCCCCACACTAAGGCTTCTGGTTTGTCTGAGGCAGAAGGAGCTGGGAATGGGGAACAGGGAGAAGCTGGGAGGCACACGGGTGGTGCCTGAAAAGGGACGTTGGCCACTGACCCCAGCATGGGATCTTCTTCTCTCAGAACCTAGTCCTGGCCCAGCCCAGGCCTGTGACTCACCGGTACTGAGCAAGGCTTTCCTGACCCCACCAGCCACCCAGCCCAGCTCAGGGACATCTCCACCCTGGCCACAGTAGGACATACTCCCCGCTCAGCCATGCCAGTGTTACCTATCTCTCTCAACTTTCTGCTCCTCCCTGTCCCTCAGCACCCCCATCAGCCAGGGGAGCAACTCCCTCCCTTCCCAAAATCGTCCCCTCTTGGACACCAGCAGCCTCCTCTGCCCCACACCATCCGAATAGAGAAAACTTACTCTTTTTGGGTCTGACAGGGTGTGCTCCTTCCAGTAAGGGACCTGCTTTCTATCTTTATTTCTCTCTTTCTCTCTCTTTCTCTCTCTCTCTCTCTCTCTCTCTCTCTCTCTCTGTCTCTCTCTCTCTCCTTCTCTCTCTCTCTTCCTCCTTCTATCTCTCTCTCTCCCTCCTTCTCTCTCTCTCTCATACACACACACAGAGAGAGAGAGAGAGAGAGAGACTGGTACACAGGAGAGGCTTAATAAACATTTGCTGAGTTGGATCTGTCTGAAGACCTCCCCTGAGGTTTATGTGCACCCCATTTAGTTGTGTCCCCCCCCCCACTCTCAGATCGTTCCTGAGCGGTAGACCCCACCTCAACATCTCATGTTCAACCAAAAAAGCATCCCTAAGCAACCACTTTCAGCCTCCAACCCCAGTCTAGACATGAGGGACAAAATGGGGGCCGGGACACTGCCTCCCTCCAGCAGGCTGCACACTCTGACACTTCCCAGAGTGCCTCAGGGCCTTGGCACTTGCTATGTTAGCTGCCTGGAACACTCCCCCTCACTCCAGCACCCCATCGTTCCCTGGGCCGAATCCCTCTTATCCCTTGGGAATCCACCCAAAGTCATCTCCTTAAAGAGGTCTCCCCTGACCACTTAAATTGGAGTCATTTTCCAATTATTCTTTCTCAGCACCCCGGTTATTTCCTGGTTACCTTCCGAAGTCACCCTGGGTAGCTTCTCTCTGGTCTATCTCCCCATACTGCACTCAGGAGGGCAGGGAGCATGCCTGTCTCCTTCACACCAGACCCCCAGCAGCTAGGACAGTGTCTCCTTCAGGCCCACGAGACCACACAGCATCTTTGTGCACACTAGAAGTTTGAGGCCCATCCTCTGGGAGACCAGCCAGATGGACACACAGCTCATGCGTAGTAAGTTGAGCTCATGCACAGTGTCATTGTGGAAATGGTGAGAAGGTGCCCTTTCTCCAAGCAGATCAGCCCTGTGCCAAGATGCATGGCTTGATAGGCAAAGGGTGGGCTGACTCCTGTGCTCTCTCAGGTAGGCACCCTTGGCAGCGCTTGGCCTACATGACCATACAGGGCAGCCCTGCCTGTCACACCGTGGACAGACACTCAGCAAATGCCCTCAAGTGGGGGGCAAGTGGAGAAATCATCAGGCAATTGCAGTATGCTATGCTGAGTGCTTCCTGCACACTGGAATGCAGAAAGCTTGTCCTTGGCAACTCTACAAAGGGGAGAGAAGGAAGACCACCCCCACCCCAGCTCCCAGCCCAGAAGACAAAAGCTTAGCAAACCGAAAGCAAGTGGCAGATGCCAAGCAGGACAGGCTTGGCCAAGCCCCCATGAATGGATTTTGACATCTGCAGAAATATCCGCCTCCAACCCCAAGGAGGCCCACTTGCTGAGTCTCCTCCAGGGAAGCCCCCTTTGTATGCCTGGCCACCTTTCTCGCATCTCCTCCCAAGGGGCAGAATGTCCTCCCAACTTGCATCGCGTCTGCTGTCATCTCAAGTTTGGACCTGCCAATCTGCTGGCCTCTCACTCTCAGAATGATGAAATATTCCATGTACTACAGAAAAGGAAACTGTGGCAGCCAGCCTCTTGGGTAGCTGCCAGTGTTCTTGCCTCTGCTACTCATGCCCTTCTGGAGTCACCTCCCACACTAAATAGTGCTGATTTATGTAATCAATCAGATACTATAGAAATGACAGTGTGCGACTTCTGAGGCTAAGCTATAAAAGACACTGACTTCAGCCTTGTCTTGGATCACTCATTCTGGGGGAAGCCAGTGACCATGTGGTAAGACTCCCAAGCAGCCCTACGGAGAGGGCCATGTGGTGAGGGGCTGAGGCCTCCTGCCAACAGCCAGCCCCAGCTTGACAGCATTAAGTGAGCCATGTGGGAAGTGGCTCCTCCAGCCCCAGTCAGACCTTCAGATGAATACGGCCCCAGTGACATCTTGACCGCACCTTCATAAGACACTCTGAGCCAGAACCACCCAGTCAAGTCACTCATGAATTCCTGAGCCATGGAAGCCATGTGGAATAATAGTTTTGTATTTCTTTTTTCTTTTTTTGAGACATGGTCTTGCCCTACTCTGGCCCCAAGGCTGGAGTACAGTGTCATGATCTCAGTTTACTGCAGTCTACATCTACCAGGCTCAAGTGATCCTCCCATCTCAGTCTCCTGAGCAGCTGGGACTGTAAGCATATGCTACCATGCCTGGCTAATTTTTGCATTTTTTGTAGAGAGGGTGTTTTGCTATTTGCCCAGGCTGGTCTCAAACTCTTGAGCTCAAGTGATCCTCCTGCCTGGGCTTCCAAAAGTCCTAGGATTACAAGAGTGAGCCATGGTACCCAGCCTGTATGTGTGTATGTATGTATGCATGCATGTATATATGTATGGTGGTTTCTTTTTTGAGAGAAATTCTCTCTGTCGCCCAGGCTGGAGTGCAGTGGCATGATCTCAGCTCACTGCAACCTCTGCTTCCCAGGTTCAAGCAGTTCTCCTGCCACAGCCTCCTGAGTAGGGACTACAGCACACACTACCATGCCCAGCTAATTTTTGTATTTTTTGTAGAGACAGGGTTTCACCATGTTGGTCAGGCTGGTCTTGAATTCCTGACCTCGTGATCTGCTCGCCTCAACCTCCCGAAGTGCTGGGATTATGGGCATGAGCCACCACGCCTGGCCCGTCTGTATTTATTTTAAACCACTAAGCTTGGGAGTAATTTTTCCATGCTGTACAAAATCACTGCAATAAAAAAATGTATGCAGTGATTTCGAACTGGATACTGAAATCAGAGCACAAGACCCATCAGAACGCAAAAGCCAAAGGCGGCAGATGCTGGGAACCGAGGCAGAGGCCATCTCCTGGGTCCTACCTTGCTCCTTGGTGCCTGCACACCCCTCTCTTTAACTCCTTCCTCTTCCCTTCCCCTACCCAGTAGTGAGCCATTGTGTCCCAGAAAGTAACTCCTAAGAGGCTAAGGTATTCTGTAGCAGCCTGACTAAGACACCCTCCACCACCACTGCCACCCAGCTTTTCCTCCCCTCAACCACGAAAGGGGAAAAACCCAGGTTCCAACCCTGGGAACATCAGACACTGCTGGGGAGAAGCCAGTCTGTGAGCAACAGGGATGCTCACTCCCCAGGGACCATTTCTCATCAGAGGGATGGGGACACGCAGGGAGGAGCAAGAGCAGGAAACTTCAGCCTTCTCCTCTCCTTCATCCTCCCCAGATACATGTGTCAGGATGGGCCCCACCTGAGCAAACCATGGCCTCTCAGCTCCTACAGAAGGCCCCACAATTACAAGCCCACCCATGAGCCCTCCTGAGCCAATGTCTGACCGGAGTCCAGCTGGAGCTCCATGGAGCGCCAGGAGCCCCATCTCTGCCCACGGTGTCAGCACTGCCCCCGCACAATAGGGCCCAGTGGTGGCCTGAGAGGGAGCAGAGAGCCCCTTAGTGGGAAGGGACCCTTAGATTACTCTGCTGGGGTGAAGAACTGCACCCCCAGCCCTTGGCCCCAGCTCCCGCCCCAGCTGGGCTGCCAGTACTCTGTCCTGGGGTTGCTTCCTGCCTCTCAGGAACACAGGAAGCCAACATTGTTGGGATCTAAATGGCCTTTTCCTCCTGGACTTGGGTAGGAAAATGAGCACATAGCCTCGGTGTGCACCTGACCCCAGCGATAACTACTCACATGCCCGGTCCGGCCTCAGCTCCTTCCCTGGCCAGCACAGAAGCACAAGCCCGGCCGCCCACCTGCTCACTGGCCACTCAGACTGCCCTGCTGGTTCATCTCCAGGACCAGGGCTGGAGGTATGCAGTCGTTAATTTAATGAGTCAACTTGTTTAGGCCATGGTACCTAGTTATTTGGTGAAACATTATTCTGGATGTTTCTGAGAAAGTTGGTTGGTTTTATTTTTTAGATGAGATTCACATTTAAATCAGTAAACTTTGAATAAAGCACATAAGCCTCCATAATGAGGGTGGGCCTCATCCAATCAGTTGAAGGCCTTAATAAAGAAGGCCCACCTCCCCAAATGAGAAGGAATTCTGCCAGCACATGGGCAATGGCACCCCGCCTGCCAACCTATCCTGCAGATTGAACCTGCCATGCCTCCACAATCACGTGAGACAATTCCTTAAATAAATCTCTTTTTTTCTACACACATCCTGTTGGTTCTGTTTCTGCAGAGAACCATGACTGACACAAGGTGTCTTGGGGGATGGTCAGGGGACATGGTGTGGCTCTGAAGTAAGAACAGGAAGAAACCTTCCAGATCAAACTTGTCCAACCCGCAGCCCGCGGGCCACATGTAGCCCAGTTCGGCTCTGAATGCAACCCAACACAAATTCATAAACTTTCTTAAAACATTATGAGATTTTGTTTTGTAAGGCAGTGGGGCATATGAAATGGTTTCTTATATGCACCCAACTCTTCCTTCTTTCAATTCTTTCTTTTTGAGACAGGGTCTCAATCTGTCACCCAGGCTGGAGTGCAGTGGTGTGCTCACAGCTCACTGCAGCCTCGACCTCCCCAGGCTCAAGTGATCCTTCCACCTCAGCCTCTGCAGTAGCCAGGACCACAGGTATGCACCACCACACCCAGCTATTTTACTTTTTTGTTTTGTGTGAAGATGGGGTCCTGCTATGTTGCCCAGGCTGGTATCGAACCCCTGGGCTCAAGTGGTTCTCATGCCTCGGCCTTCCACACCACCCCCACCAGCCGAGACAGAGTCTTGCTCTGTCGCCCAGGCTGGAGTGCAGTGGCACAATCTCAACTCACTGCAACCTCTGCCTTCCGCGTTCAAGCAATTCTCCTGCCTCAGCCTCCCGAGTAGCTGGGATTATAGGTGCTCACCACCACACCCAGCTAAGGTTTTTGTATCTCTAAGCAGAGAAGGGTTTCACCATGTTGGCCAGGCTGGTCTCAAACTCCTGACCTCATGATCCGCCCACATCGGCCTCCCAAAGTGCTGGAATTACAGGTGTGAGCCACTGCACCTGGCCCCATTATGAGATTTTTTTTTTTTGCAAGTTTTTTTTTAGCTCATCAGCTATGGTTAGTGTTAGTGTACTTTATGTGTGACCCAAGACAATTCTTCCTTTCCCATGTGGCCCAGGGAAGCCAAAAGATTAGGCCCCCCATTCTAAATCATCCCATCCAGTGATGTTCATACTTTTATTTTTGCAGCCAAATTCCTCCCGCAGATGGGCTCTGACGTGGAACCACAGTGATGCTGGTTAAAATTCACTAAATGCTTGCTGTATGTCAGGCTCTGTCTGGAGCCCAGCCCCTATACATATATCATTTCATTTAATCCCATAGTAACCTCATGAGGGAGGTACTGTTGTTTGTCCCTTCTTAAAGGTAAGGAAACTGAGGCTTAGAGGGGTAGGCAATCAGCCCAAGTTCTCATGAGTAAGGGTCAGGCAGGGATTTGAATCAGGGCATCCAAGTCAAGGGCAGGATCACCACATCATCCTACCTCCTGATGCATTTGACTCCCAAAACCAGAGCTTCTCTGGCTGAGGTGGGAAGGGGTCCCAGAGCCCTGACTCTTTTAGACTCCCTTGGATTTCATCTCTTACCCTCTTTGGCCCCTAAAGCTCCTCCAAAAACCTTACAGCTCCTTCAGAACACTGTTTACAGCCTCTGAACTAGTCCCACCTCCTCATTTAGAGAAAAGGGGAGGCCAGACCCAGAGAGGTTAGGCATCTCTCCTGAGGTCACACAGCCAGGTGGTATTAACAGCAAGCCAGGGCTAGAAACCAGGGTCTTTCCACCCTACCAGGCTGCCTCTGGTGGCCCCAAGGAGGTCCTCAGACATAGGGCAGGAGCTGGGTCCCCCAGTGACGTAACAGGGGGAAAGATTTCCTAGAAACAAGGTTTCCCCAAATCCAACTGGTGCTGGCTTCTGCGTAGGCTTGTCCCGTTAAAGGATGGATCGTCTTTCCAGATGCATCCTGCCCTAAGGAAACTGCAGGTGACTGTCCCCACTTCCAGGCTGAGCAGAGCCACTGAGAAGGGAAGTTGTCCGAGTCTGGGCCCCGATCAGGCCCAGATGGCAGCCCTTGGGCTGCTGAGCTGCCATCCTGCTCTCTTCCTGTGGGTTTCGCCTGGTGGGAGGTGCAGCCCTTGAGCAAAGCTCTGAGTCCACACGGCCTCCCTCGGGGCCCCAGTGCACATGGACTCCCATAGAGCACTTCCCTAGGGACCTGCAGGAAGCCCACTATTTGGGCTGAGGAACTCCTACTCATCCCTCAGGACCCAGCCTACTCATGTCTCCCTGCTGAAGCCTGACAAGAACATCTCTACTGAGTCAGAGATGGCCCTGCACACACACATGCACCTGTGTCAGCTTCGGCACCATGCTCCATGATTGTCTGACTATGTCTGTCTTCCCAGGTAAGGGGCTGGCTCTCAGCACCAAGACCCACCACAGCATTCGACCCAGAGGACAGCTTAGTTCATGACTGCCAGCCAGACGGCTGCACAGAGGCACGGAGGAGGTAAGCAGCAGCCTGCATGGGGAGCGGGGGTGCTATCCTGCCTCTGCAGATCCCAACCAGGGAGTTTTCCAGGCTCTCCCACTGTCAAGGCCTCAGCAAGTGTTCTTGGTCCAGCCCCCTTCATCATAGATGAGGCATCTAAGCCTGAGCTGTTAATTGACTTGTCCAGGACCACTGAGGCTGTGAGAAGCAGGGCCAGAAGTAGATCCGGGGCTAGTAACTGCGCCTCTGCACCTGATTTCCTGCCATTGTCTCGACTGTGTCTGTGTCTTCCACAAGGAGCCTTCATCCCTCGCATGAGGACCCATCTTCCAGGCACACACACAACCTCAAGGCTCCTCACAGCAACCCCCGAGAGACTCAAGATAGGGTTCATATGCAGGAGGTCACAGGGGCTCACAGGTCTGGCGGAACCCCTTTGTCTGTTCATCTATGACGCCCACACATCCCCCGCCTTAGTTTCTTATCTGCCTTATTCTTCTCTGAGTCTTCCAGAACCAGGGCCAGACCCCAGGTTCCCTTCATCTCTTTCCTACCGCCTTCGGCCATATGACATCAAATGGGAAATGCAAGAGGGAGGGGAACGGAAGAGCTGCCCAAGCCATAGGTCCAGGCAGCCAGGGGAAGACGGGCCGAACACCCCAGTGTCTCTAGAGCTAAAAGAGCTTCCTCCCCGCCCCCTGCCTGTAGCAGAAGTTTCTTCAATGTTGCAAGTCCCGTGGAGACTGGGAATCTAGGGCCTTGACATCCATGCACCACCCCACCCCACCCACCACCCCCGAGCCATTAATCAAGAGAGTTGCCATGCTGTAGCCAAGACTTGAAGGCTGAGAGCAGAGCAAACCCAGTGAGTTGGGCTCAGTGAACAGACACGAGCTGGAGTTTGGTCCACACGTGCCCCCTCCTCCAGGGAACCACATCGGGTGGCCTTGGATGGGTGGGTGAATGGATGAATGAGGGGACCTAGCCACCTCCTGCCATCTTGAGCTCCTGGCTCCAAAGCACAGACAGTTGATTCACTCTTCCATCTCCCACCAGTGAACCCAGTGGCCCTAGTCCCCTTGCTGAGGCTGTACACGTGGCCTATGGAGCCAGGAGTCTCCCTCCCTATTCTCTATCCTCCTCTGGCACGGTCCTGACACCTGCTGGTCCTGTTACCCAGTAGCCCTGGCTTTCTTCCCACCAACTCCCCACCCTCCAGAGCCCAGCCAGAGCTGCCAAACCAGTCTAGCCACCTGCCATCCCCTCCAGTCCACACCAGCAGGGCAGGGCCGTGTCTTGCTCACCCTGGGAGCCTTCTGTTCACATGGGGTCAAAACCTCTCCTCAACCCAAGCCCTCAGGCCAGGTCGGCTGGGGAACCTAGAACCATGGAATGTGGGCCCACCGGAGACTCTCTGGAGCCAGAGGCCTGCCCAGGTCACGCAGTAAATGTATGCAGGTCTTCCTTCTGCCCCCACCTCCAGGCTGCCTCCTGTCACCCTACTGGGAGTCCCTGGGATGACGGGAAGACACTGAGGCAAGAGGGAACTCTGGGGAAGGGCCAGAGGCTAATTTATGCATTCTCACAGTGCAAGGCAGGGTGGGGGGGGCTGTTACACAAACAACATGCAAAACTTTACCCCTAGCAATTCTGCTGTGACATCCCCCGCAACCCAGCTCCAACCCTAAACCGCCGGCAAGTCCCTGCCAGACCTCCTGGGAGGAGGGTGACACCACGTGGCTTATTTCGGTATTGCAAACATCGTGGTTGGCTCCCCTAAACTCATGCTGGGTGTTCCAAACGTTCGGTTAAGCACCATGAACCTCTGCCTTGTGCCCATAGCAGGCCTTGCCTGGAATGCCCTACACACACACACACACACACACACACACATGCTTTCAGCCATCCACTCACCTCCAGCACCCAGCTGAAACACCTTCCTCCCCTGAGAGCACACATCCTGAAAACCCGACTCAGGCCTCACTTCTGGGTGCCTTGGCAAGAGATGTCACCGCTCTCAGCCTCAGTTTCCTCCTTTGTAAAACAGGGATGACACCAGCACCTTTTGGGGGGGTGTGAACATCAGATGAGGTCATGCACGTGAGCGCTTGGTATGCAGTAAGTGCTTTCGGAATTGTTCAGTGGGCTCCAGGCCAGCCTCCCAGCCTGGTGGGCCTTTGACATGGAGGGAGGGGCAAGAGAGAGAGGCCAGGTAGAGAAAGCCATATGAGCAGAGGCTCCAAGCAAAAAGGACATGGCCCGCTTGGCATATTTGGCATGCCCAACATACTGAGGAGCCATGTGAGGTGCCAGTGGTTTGAACATGGAATCAGGAGCAGAGGAACATGGGCAGAGAGATGGGCAAAGGCTGAGCCCACCAGGCCTGGCAGCTAGGGAAGAGGTCTGTGCTGTCACAAGGATTGTGAGGGAACCCAGAGGCTTTAAGCCAGAAGCTGACATTACTGGATTTATGGTTTTAAGTCCCACTGGAAGCTGGTGTGGAGGGTGGATTGCAGAGAATGGGTCAGGAGACAGGAGAAGGTAAAGGTGAGTCAGTTGCCCACAGGACAAATGACGGCAGTGGAATTGGGAGGGGATGATGCCAAGAAGCTCAGGGACTCCAGCGGGCCTTGGGAGGCCCTACAGTTGATGAGATGGGGGGTGAAGGAGAGGGAGGCATTGGATGGGGCAACAGGATGAGTGAAGGTGTCAGCCATGATGTTGGGTGCAGGGACCTCCTGCTGATTTCACTGTGTGATCTGGGACAAAACACCAACTTTTCAGGCAGCGGTGACACTGGCCATTCCGGGAGCTGATGAAAATAGTGATTGAAAGCCTGGCAGCCAACAGTTCCTCCACTGAGTCTGACTCGGGGACTCTTAAAGTGGCCTCTGAGCTGCCACAGAAGAGGGCTGCGGTGTGCCTTCTTTGCAGAAATCCCAGTGCCAAGCACATGCCACCCACAGAACTTCCACAAACCAACCACATCCCATCCACACACCACAAAACATGTCACCACGTGACTTCCTCCATGCACCTTCCACAAACCCTGCACACAGCTTCTACATACAGACCACATGCCATCCACATATCAACCACACAGCCTCAGCACACGTCATCCACATGCCAGCCTCACTCTCAGCACACATCATCCACACACCAACCACACACCAGCCACACATCATCCACACGCCATCCACACACCAACCACACACCCTCAGCACACATCATCCACACGCCATCCACACACCAACCACACACCCTCAGCACACATCATCCACATGCCATCCACACACCAACCACACACCCTCAGCACACATCATCCACACGCCATCCACACACCAACCACACACCCTCAGCCCACATCATCCACACGCCATCCACACACCAACCACACACCCTCAGCACACATCATCCACACGCCATCCACACACCAACCACACACCCTCAGCACACATCATCTACACACCATCCACAAGCAACCACACACCTTCAGCACGCATCATCCACACACCAACCACACTTTCAGCACACATCATCCTCATCCACACGCCAACCACACACCAGCCACACACCCTCAGCACACATCATCTACACACCATCCACAAGCAACCACACACCCTCAGCACACATCATCCTCATCCACACGCCATCCACACACCAACCACACACCTTCAGCACACATCATCCTCATCCACACGCCATCCACACACCAACCACACACCCTCAGCACACATCATCCTCATCCACACGCCATCCACACACCAACCACACACCAGCCACACACCCTCAGCACACATCATCTACACACCATCCACAAGCAACCACACACCTTCAGCACGCATCATCCACACACCAACCACACCTTCAGCACACATCATCCTCATCCACACGCCATCCACACACCAACCACACACCAGCCACACACCCTCAGCACACATCATCTACACACCATCCACAAGCAACCACACACCTTCAGCACGCATCATCCACACACCAACCACACCTTCAGCACACATCATCCTCATCCACACGCCATCCACACACCAACCACACACCAACCACACACCTTCAGCACACATCATCCACACGCCATCCATATACCAACCACACACCCTCAGCACACATCATCCACACGCCATCCATATACCAACCACACACCCTCAGCACACATCATCCACACGCCATCCACACACCAACCACACGCCAGCCACACACCCTCAGCACACATCATCTACACACCATCAACACACCAACCACACACCAACCACACACCCTCAGCACACATCATCCACACGCCATCCACACACCAACCACACACCTTCAGCACACATCATCCTCATCCACACGCCATCCACACACCAACCACACACCAGCCACACACCCTCAGCACACATCATCTACACACCATCCACAAGCAACCACACACCTTCAGCACGCATCATCCACACACCAACCACACCTTCAGCACACATCATCCTCATCCACACGCCATCCACACACCAACCACACACCTTCAGCACACATCCACACGCCATCCATATACCAACCACACACCCTCAGCACACATCATCCACACGCCATCCATATACCAACCACACACCCTCAGCACACATCATCCACACGCCATCCACACACCAACCACACACCAGCCACACACCCTCAGCACACATCATCTACACACCATCCATACACCAACCACACACCCTCAGCACACATCATCCACATGCCATCCACATACCAACCACACACCCTCAGCAGAACCTCCACATGCCATCACATGCTGATCATGTATCGCCCACATGCCATTCACGTGTCATTTGTATACCTTCTTCATGGTACTCACATGACATTCATATACCTTTTTCATGCCATTCATCCTCACACAAGCTGCATGCCATTTCCATGCCTCCCACCACCTGCCGTACCCACCACACCCACCCACATGCTTTTCATCTGGTGAGCTCAGCATCCTCCCCCAGAGGAGAACAAGGCGCCAGGTTGGGACCCCAAGGATA